TCTCTCTCTCACACACACACACACACACACACACACACACACACACACACACACACTTCTCTCCCTCCTCTCCCCCCCATGTACCCCATCTCCACAAAGCAGAGGAGGGGAGACAACAGGGCTCAGGACAGAGCAGGAGAGCTTTCAGTGTTTCTTAAAGAGACAGTGCACGGCTTTCCCCAGCAGCCAGCACACACACACACACAGTCTCTTTCACACTCATCTCTGAACACATATTTGTATTAATTGTTGTTACTTCTTGGTACTTCCTGCAATGCACATATATTCTCTGTAATTTTATTCTTTCAAAGTGTGTTATTTTAGTGTTTTGACTGGTCTGTGCATTTCATAATTTTCATTTCTCTTACACTTACATTTAATTCTTTGAGTAGTGAGTTCTAAAATGCCTAAGCTGTCCTGGCTGGAGTAATTATCCCTATGGTAACTTTTTAAAAATATCTATTATATCTAGGTGTTTTGTTTCTACTGGTGGCGCACATAGGCATACATCTTGGTGGACATATTTAAACCACACAGATGGAAAAAATTAGAGGGAACATTGCTGTCTACATAGATTTTATAGAGTTGCATTTCTTTCATTTTAATCATACAAAGCACTAGCTAAAGTTAGTTTATTCTTTGACATAAGTAAGGGACAAATTCCACTTTGGACAAAAACCATTGCCTCTCTGTTCAACCATACTGCAAAATTTCCCACATATTCAGGGACTGATTACAGAATTTCATAATATCCACTGAAATATACACTAACAAAATGTGGCAGTGTTCAAAAGGTCTTTAAAAAGTCACAGAATGCAAAATCTATTATTAAATAATGAAGACTAATTTACATGGATATATACACATTTGACTTCAATGGAACACCATCAATTTAGAAATAATTAAAATTTATGTAGTATTCCTTCAAATTCCAGTCTCAATTTTTGTGGTTTTGCAATCAACACTTTCCTTTTTATTAACTATTATTATTATTATTATTATTATTAAAGGAGTTTGTTTCCTCTTACTGTGTGAAAGGCCTACACAAACATGGGAAACCAACTAAGGTACACAGAAGGGCAAATAATAAAACTGACTACAAACAGAATGTTGCCAAATGCACAAAATAAACCACAATTTTTCCCCTCTGTAATCCCTTTCATTTAAAAAAATTAAGTATTACTTTAATACTAGTAGTCTAAAGATTTCCAGCAGAAGTGTGGTGTTTAAATAGACAGTGTCCCTCTAAAGATTAATAATGACCCAAAATTCAAACACTAACACTTTTTAAAGGACAACACAACCAACAATATGAGTTTAGTTTTGGTTGTTTGTATTCTGAATTGGTTTCATCCTGAATACAGGATATCTTCAAAATCTTAGGTTCTGAGTGATCAGTTGTGATTTAATAAATAGGGTTTTTTAGTTGTGCCCTAGCTAAACAATTGCTGCATTTAAACCTTTCATACAAATTGTATACAATTTATATATGTGTATACACACATACCCAAATATGGTACAAAAAGATTGCAGCCTCAGTCCTATCAAAACTTACCCAAGGGTGTTGCCTGCCAGTCTGCCCAGAGTTTCAGAACCAGACAGAAACCATGGGGAGTCACTAGTCCTGCCTGGCCTGGATGTCCTTCCTGCCCCTGAGCCACTGCTCAACTTTGAGCTGAAAGTAAAAGATGGTAAATCAGTCACAAAACAATCCCAAATGGGTTAAGAACAAAACCTGGAATCCCAGGTCTAAAGTCTCAGGGACTTAGTCTGGTAACATACCAGCTTAAGCAACACCCTTGGGGAATACTCCAAACTAATCTAACTGCAAAATAGTAAGGTGTATACTGAGATATGGAAAGCATGCCTAATAGATATTCATGTCGGCAATCCATTGTTTTGTACTTACAAAAAAAGTCTTTTCAATAGAATAACTGCAAACACATATAATTCTAATTACTTTGAAATGAGGTAGCCTCTGAACTTCATGTTTAATTTAATATGTATAGATTGCAATGGTCACTGTTATTTCTGTAAACCAGAGGCAACAACTTGCTATTTTAGAATTAAAAAGATTGTTGTAAGCCCAGATTTGAGTTATTTTGATAGCAGTCCTATCAAGATCACTTACCTGGACTAAAGTTAATCAAAGTCCTTCCAGTCGGGACCATTATCAGAGTAGGTTCAATATGGGGTGTAAATACTTAAGTCTGTTCCTTTCAGAAAGTTATCTTTTTTATTATGTTAAAGAGATTCTGTAGGAATTTTATCATCATTTTGGTACTAGGTATGGCATTTCTTTCAACACAAAAATATAACTATCAAGCTAGAACTGAGCTGTTCACATAATCACAACCATTGTAGCATATCTAAAGACTTCCTACATGGTACTAGCATTAATTTTAAATTTTGAGGATAGATTTCAAAGACAACTATATAAGAAAATTCAGATTTATCCATTTCAAATATCTGCTGAGTACAAAAAAAAAAAATATTTCTTACCCATCATTGTTGTCAGGTTTACCCAATTCCAGTCTGTCTGGCTGAACTGAAAAGCCAATCCTGCAGACTCTGCCGTCCTATTTTTAAAATAAGAAAAACAAGTGTCCAAAATTGAAATGTAAGGCAGAATTAGAGCAAAATCAAGTCTTCAGTTGCTGATTAATTTGATGTTAAAAAGGATTATGTTTAACCGTATGGCTTCAAATTTGTTATGAGAACAGATTTGAGCAATTTACCTCAAGAAGAAATGCAGCATGATTTGGTCCCACCACACATTGTTTAATAGTAGCCTGTTCCAATACATTCAAAGGGGGGTGGCTGAAAATAAAAAGGGAGCATGTATAACATTTTTAAACTTTTGAACTCCGAACAAAAATTGTAAAAAGTGGTATATGGAAGAAGCAATGATGGTTACTGATATAAAACATTTAAAATGACTTAAAATGTACACTAGTTGAAGCAAATAGGATATATTTTCAATCATTAAGCATAGAAAAGGCAAAACAAACCCTTAAAAGGTGATAAAGCAATATTGTATATTTTATTTCAGTCAGCAATAAAAAGTGGCGCCTATATTCCAAATTAAATTAATTGTAGGAGATGGGTGCTTACTAATAGATAATAATCAACAGCTAGAACTTCCTACCCATACATAAAAGTTACCTTTTTCAGAAATATATCAAAAAAGTAAATGTTAGTAGTAGAAATGTATATCTACAATGTAAACTTTTGTTTGTCAGTCAGAAAAACTGTTTTGCTGAATGCTTTTACAGTAATGGCTAATATATCTTACCTATTTAAATTGTATTTATTCAGCTTCTCTGAAACTTCCCTTAACCTGCAACAACAACAAAAAAAAGAGTGCATGCTATATGAAAAATATCCTGTATTATATGCAAAGTTCACTTAAGCAGCATATTTTTTTTGTGACATGATTTATTCTGCTCAACCTCTTACCGTTGTGTGGCTTCTCCAACATACTACACAACTTGATATCACCACAGCAGCATAACTACTTGAAGACACAGACCGCCACTTAATAATCAAATTACATTTCAGAACACAAGTCATCAGACAAATTGTGCAATTCAGTGTCGGACACTGCATCAGTAGGCAACAAAGTTATATTATACCAACTACTCACTACTACGTAGTGATGAAACCCAGTACAAACACTACAGGATGTCAGGACACTGCACTACAATTTTGTGGGGGCCAGCCTCAATTCAACAAACTACTTTAGGATTTTATGATGCCACCCATTACCATAGAATCCAAGTATAGTATCTTTTTGCTCACATTTCTCACTCATTTTTGGTTGTTGGAAAGAAAAGGGCATTCATTACTCCTGTCTTGTCACCATACCCTTCCTAGCCAATAGATATGAAGTAACGCAGGCAAACAATGATTAACGCTGCGATTTAGTCACAGAATAAGTGATTTCCAAAGACCTCTGTGACTTCAGCCAGCGCTGCCACCCACCACTCCCAGCTGGCCGGGGGGGGGGGGAGGGAGGAGGGGCGGGGCGCACCTCCCTACCGCTTCTGGGCAGCAGGGGGCGGTGACTACCACTGCTCCCAGCCGCCAGTGGAGGGGAACAATGAAGCTCCCAGGCCCTACGGGTGGTGAGGATCCCCTGGAGCCCGCACCCAGCTGCCCAGACTCCCCATTTTGTATGGATATTTTCAGTAAAAGTCAGGGACAGGTTGTGGGCTTCCCTGACTTTTACTAAAAATATCCATGACAAAATCTTAGCCTTAACAATGATCAAACATCAGGCGGAACAAGTAACTATCTAAGATTAAACTGTTTCCAACCCCATTTAGCAAAAGGGAAAGATGCCATTTTCCAGGGCATTTAAGGGTGTGAGATCTTAGAAGATTTAAAACAAACACATGATTCTCAAATAAAAGAAAGTGAGGGGCGGGAAAAAAGCTCAAATACAAAAAAAGTGTCAAAGAGATAAACTATAAATGCAACTTGATGTAGGGGAAAATAGGTAGACAATTCAGAGAAATCAGAAATATTTATTATTCAATAGTGCCTAAGATATGGACCCAGCTCCAAACAGCTTAAAGTCTAACATTTACACAAATATCTCTGAGACTAGGTCTACACTACGGGGGGGGTGCGACCTAAGATACGCAACTTCAGCTATGCGAATAGCTGTTCAAGTTGCAATCCATGAATGGGCTGAGGTATAAATCAGAACTCTATACTCCCACAGCGCTCACTGACATGCCCACTTCTGTCAGAAGGATTAGCACAAAGATCAAGGGTACAATATGACCTTTATGTAATTAAACATGTAACTATTATAGGAGAGCTAGTATAGTTAAGTTTGCCTAAAATTTTCATTATAAGACCTTATTTTCATAGGGTCTTATAATGAGAGCTTATAACTCTCCCAAACTTAAAATGTTCAAGTTGCAATTCTCCATGCCAGGTGTTTGTCTTTTTAAAAAAAGTTTCATTTGTATTTAATTTTTTAAAGTTGCAACTAGAACTGTTCAGATGTTTCCAAGCATCAACAAGATTAGGAAAAAATATTTTTAGCCCATGTTACAATAATTCTTGCCACTTTTATTGAGAAGCTCTAGCACACGCATGCTTTGGAGACAATGGGGAGGGGGGACAATGCCTCTCACACACTCTGGTGTGAGAGGTACCTTATATAAATCGATGGTGTGCCCTCATCTCAAATATTGCATACAGATGTGGTCTCCTCATCTCAAAAAAGATATACTGGTACTAGAAAAGGTTCAGAAAAGGGCAACTAAAATGATTAAGGGTTTGGAACGGGTCCCATATGAGGAGAGATTAGGACTCTTCAGCTTGGAAAAGAGGAGACTAAGGGGGGATATGATAGAGGTATATAAAATCATGAGTGATGTGGAGAAAGTGGATAAGGAAAAGTTATTTACTTATTCCCATAATACAAGAACTAGGGGTCATCAAATGAAATTAATAGGCAGCAGGTTTAAAACAAATAAAAGGAAGTTCTTCTTCATGCAGTACACAGTCAACTTGTGGAACTCCTTACCTGAGGAGGTTGTGAAGGCTAGGACGATAACAGAGTTTAAAAGAGAACTGGATAAATTCATGGTGGTTAAGTCCATTAATGGCTATTAGCCAGGACGGGTAAGGACTGGTGCCCCTAGCCTCTGTCTGTCAGAGGATGGAGATGGATGGCAGGAGAGCGATCACTTGATCATTGCCTGTTATGGTCACTGCCTACGGGACAACGGGGGTCGGCACCGG